TAATATATATATATATGAGAAAAAAGAAAAGGGATCACTTGATCCTATTTAAGAGACGCAAAACCTAACGAGGAGCAAAGTATGTAGAGTCACACGAGCGTTGCAATTATTATGGTTGCCTCTATTATAGTATCACGATATACGTGTAGACTGATGTCTGCCCTTCGATAATGGCAAAGTTTTTGTATGTCGGTGTATCTGTTTATATTCAATTGAAATCAAGGTATTTGTATGAGAGTGTCGTAAAGATGATAGATTTAATAACAAACAAGGACAATGCGGTACAGGTGATCATTGCATATATGATCGAAATCAATACTTTTTTCCTTCGAGCATCATTTTCTCCAATGGGACATCTAGTTACGAAAAAGTTGAATGCTTTTGTTAAAACAACGAAGTTTTTTTTCGCGACACAAACGGATAAATCCTCAAAATGACTCATTGCTTACAACATCAATCCCGTTGCTGTGAGACCTATCATCAATCCTACCATAGAGACCTTTTCCTTTTTTTGAACTACAGACTAAAATATTGGTATCGTCATCTATGATCCTAAACTGCAAGATGTTCATTGATTATTGGCCTTCTTTTTTTTACTTTGTTTTCTCTTTCTCTGTTTGTCTATTTATCATGCTGTGTCTGCTTTCGGTCCTGCGTCTGCCTATTTTCACGGTTGATGACGCCCACTACGTCAGGCATGCACCGTAAATCATTGGAGGCTGCCGAGAAGCTCAAGGATGGTACAGTGAGTGAAAACTCATCAACTAGCCATGAGATCAACGAGCGCTCCAATCCTTCCGCGACGTCCCGGTCCGACCCAATGGCAATGCCTCCTGTTGTAACCGATGCCACCGCTGAGAGTCAGCTCAATAGCCATTCTGTTTCCATGACACCTCTCCATGGTTGTCATGGCAGCTCCCAGTCTATTGGTTGCCATGACGATCACGCAATGGTCGTCGACAATAGTAGCCACATAAATGTTGATGACCAAAATCTCGATAACTGTCATGATGATCTTGATAGTCCGGAACAGCAACGGCAGAGGGATTCCTCGGTGCGAAGAAGACATCGTCTGCTTCAGGGTCCATTAGACAGAGTTCACAGTGGTGAAAGTGAAACTGCTGGAGGAGCTGGTATCAACAAAAACCAAAGCAACACCAACAATAATGGCGGCGGCAGCAGCAGCAGCAGCAGCAGCTTTCAGGACAACGCTACCGATCTCAGGTCGCCAATAACCTTGTCGATGGCGCGGCATCCGTCCCTTTCAACTCTCGGCCTTCGAGTGACGCAGCAACATCATCAGGCTCAGAGGTCGGGACTACACGTTCACGTAAATGCCAATCTCGCGCTCAGTTTGCAAAGTAATGGTTAGTACTATATAAGGGATGTAATTTGGTAACAAAGTTCATCATTTAATCTGTTAGTCCGTATAATGAAAGCGCACGATCAAGGTTATGGCTATTTAAGTCTGTTTACTCTAAATGTGTATACTTACCTATAAAATACATACGGACATTTCGTGAGTGAATCGAGATGTTACATAAATTCTATTGGTGAACTGCAACGAAACATTCGTTGGTCCAACTGTGGGTTTCTGTCACTTGTTTAGATTTAAGGTTAGAAGCTAGAAGTGATCACTCTAACGGACGTTTTGCCTCACGATACACAGAGCGCGGCTTACTGATGCCATGGAAGGCTTCCGGCGTGAGGACCCTTATCTACTTGTTTAACCGTTCAACTTTTGTTTCTACATTGAATTTATTGGATAAGAGCACATTGTGGCGTCTTTTGGTCGCGCTGTTGCTGAAAGAGAACATGGCTCACTATCTGTCAGTGGCAGATTCTGTCAGAATAGTGCAAACAGTACAACTTATATATATCTAAGTTAATTCTCCAATAGACTGCTGTCAGCAGGTTATAAGCTGGTAGTGCTGTAAAACGAGATAGGGGATCAAGACATTAACGGCATTTAGTTCCATGCGAATATACATTTATATGCAAATTTACTTCGTTAGATCGCTTCATGGGATTGTAATTGCGTCAGGTGATAGACAGGCAAGATTCGTTAAATTTATTTACATACAAACATCGCCCAATAGGGTGGCTATGGTCAGCTTGAACACAAACAAAAACTATAATTATAAACGAAAATTAATATATTTATTTACCGAATAACCAAATAAGCTCGAGTTATCAACGCATCAAGCAACTGACTGCAGTTTCAAATGTTATCGTTATCATTATTTTGATAATTCTATTTTCGTCCTAACTGACTAATTGTAAACCATTCTATCGTTGCTTTGCGTTTCTTCCTTTCGACGTCGTCCCCGTGTGTGGCATCTATAGAGGAAGCGACCGATCTGTGCGTGAAACGTGAGTCCGAGTCGCAACTGCCTGCGAGCTCTTCCGCTGCATGTCGCCACGCAGTACCATCACCATCACTGACAGCGTCGTCAATCGACGCTACGATGACGCCATCCAACACGTCATCCGATATCAAGGATACTCTCCGGGACCTCCGACGTGGGGGAGGAGTGGGAAGTGGCGACAGTGATCAACAGCAGCAACAAGTCGTACAACAACCAACAGACTCGAAACCTCGTCGACTTCTTCATCACTCGATCGACGCTTTGTTTCGGGGGCAGTTCCGGACAACGAATAGCAGCAGCACGAATGAACTAAGCGCTTCTGACTCCTCGGACCGGACTGGTGTTAGGAATAATCTCGATGTCCATAGCCCGTTAGCCATGACGTCACTGGCCTCCGATAGAGCAGCAACAGTAACAACTGGTCAGATCAGCCACGGTAACAACCAAAATGCTAATACATCTCACGCCACTTCAGAATATCGAAATCTGTCTAGCTCTAATACGACCAACCGATTACTTTTTACATCGGCGCAGGAGTCGCCGATGCACGGACACGCCACCGCCCCTAGCGGCAGCAACACCAAAAACGCGTCAAACGAAACCAATAAAGGCCATTCGGCGGCGACGTCATTGATGCACAACAACAATAACAAGAGCAGCACAAACAGCGTCAACTGTAATACCGCTAACACCAGCAACGACAACGACAACAGTAGCAATTTACAATCACAGACAGCGATGACCAGCAGACGACAGAGCATGGCCATAACGACAACGGTGGTTTCGACAGCGACCGCCGTAGCTGGCCAGCAAACGACGCCAGCGTACACTGACGGGGAACGATCGAATAGCGCATAACTGTTGTTGAACGCGGTCGCCCTCGACGTCAGCGACTATCCTCTCGAGCCCCTTAATATAACGACGATAGGGTTTCTAGCACAGAACCGGTTTCTTAGACGTTATTGTCCACCCGATGACTCAGATCAATAACGTACATGAGAAATAGAGCGATAATGTAGATTCGAACTGATTCTTGGCCTAAGACGTCATAGCAACTCCTACTGAACCACTTGCGTATTTTTCTGATTGCGTATTTCTTGCGAAACTTTTTCTGATCAGTGCTAATCAGGCTGAACTTGTACGTTTTCGCCATAGAAGCAATTTCGTTCAAATAAAACCACAATAAGTTAGTGGAAATACCCTGTTCGAGGGCAAGCGTCAACGACCAGTTACAAGATACGAATGGTTTCCCGTCCACGCTACGCGTACGGATAGATGTACGCTTTGCTACAATGAGGCGTTCGCCGATCGACGAACGTCCTTCATTTGACTTTCGACAATGGCCATCTTTAACGCAACTAGACAACGCAGTTGCTGAAAACAAAGCACGTAATGATAAAACAAACATAATAAGTAGTTCACTTCAAGCCTAAAAGAATACAGGACTTGAGACTGTAAAATACCTGCAGCGAAATCCTTGTACCCATTAGCTCCGTGATAACATCATTTTCATTGAGACACAGATGACAGACGCGTAACAGTGACGTATTGTTTCCTAACAAGACCGACAAGAGACTAGGAAAAATAGAAATTTCATACGTTAAATTTTTTTTCTCGATTCCGTTTAGTCTATAGCTGTATCGTGTCGAAAGGACAAAAATTGTATGGAACTTTCGACGATTCCCAAAAACCCTTCTAAACAAGCATTCGCTGTCCGCATAAGACGAACGAGAACAAACTATAGTAAAGATAGGTCCATTATGCCAATAGTCGCGGCAAGGCCTGCCTCACATGCGTCGTCAGCGACGACTCACAAACAAATGGCAGTAAGATCAAACTTATACAACAGCAAACATTTATAATGATACGCTTATAGAACTGCTGTCCAGCATCAGGATTAGCCGACGGTTGTCGGTAACCTGTTAGCATCGGCATAAACAAGTGACAATGATGGGAAAAAAAAATAGGCACTATACGAACGCATCAAGATGACCGAGAAATTTTGACGCAGACTGACGAAGCTCTTCGACTGGATGACGGTGAACATCGTTCGGTGTCTGTCGTTCTGTGAAGCGGAACGAAGGCAGTAGCTGCCACAGACGAACCGAAACCTCAGAGTAAAAGCAGGGCCTAGTAAATAAGGACTAAGTTTAATACGTAACAGTAGCATTGATGGTGGTGACGATAACAATGATAATAATAATCAACTCAAAGCAATACAATGCAATGCAAACCAGTATTTGTAGAGTAAAGTAAAGCGACTTATAGAAGAATATGTGGAAATGACCGCAAAGGCAAATCAGCACTGATAGTGTTTGACATACTATACGTAGATCAGTTATGTTCTAATCGCTTTCGTACATGGACTAAGTACAGATGAAGCCGAAAAATTGATCGGTGGATGAACGAACGAATGGGTACTTTGTGGGGCAATGATCCATATTTTAGCAGTGAATAAGCTTACGCTTGTAACGACAGCATACAGACACGCATAGACACACGCACTATCTGATTCCTCTTCATTGAATTCCCACATAACAGTAATCACAGATATGTACAGATCTAGGTATCTATGCTGTATATGTGATTTACTAATTGTTTATAACAGTGTATCCTCAATAATGGGCATGTTTTTGTGTCATCGGTAACAGAACATATTGTCGTACATCCGCTGTTTGGAGTGGAGAAAGGCACGCGGAACTATATATATATATATATATACAGGGCCTTTCTTGTCCGTGGTCCTAGGTCACTTATTACTAATGAGCAGCGATAGCGATAACGGAAATGCTACTGTCGATGATGATTAAATTAACATCAACACTAGCAAAATGTAAAAACCGTAACTTACAATATACTCATGTGGTACTATTACAATATAATTCTTGGTAGGTAGATCAAAGACAACGATAGTAGCATAGTGTTGATTCCGCCACCTGCAGTATGACGCGGGCTACACGTATCGCGAGTGACGCACAGGAAAAGGGCACGCAAAAACGTCAATTGAATTTTTGCCCAATGTTGGCGCTAATGGAAAATTAATTACCGTGCATCTGTCGCGGAAGTTTTTTTGACCCGTCGTCTATTTCATCCATTCTAAGATAAGCGAACAACAGCGAAGAAAAATTAGGACGGCAATAGCCACCATATTATAACTGATGCTATTATCTGGGATAATTAGAAAACTTTGTGTGTAATAGAAAGTATTATTATTATTATACAGTAGGTACGAGTATATGAGCAGATTTAAAATGAATACTGAATATTATGATAAATGGTTATCATTGTAAATACGTGCGGAGCATAACCTTGAAATAAACCAACAACCAACTTATTGGACCGAAATAAACTACTATTAAATCGGATCGAAAGGTAATAGCTAAAAATAAATCTTTTCATTTCATCGTGAGGTACATGTCGTAGACGGGAGGGAGGCCCATAGCAGCTTTTGGACCTTCACTTTCAGCAAGACTTTTTCAGCAATCCCACAGTATTTTTTCACACACACACACACACACACACAAAAACTATTTTCACAAAAAGAAATGCTGTGGGATTTGGTACCTTGAACACTGCACAGCTAGGCGACTACGGACATAAGAGGAGGCCGACAATTCATCAAGGTATTTCATGCCGACCAGCTCCAAGGTATGAGGGCATGCGATGAACTCGTTCTACCTGTGAACTTACTTGTTTCTGACCTTAATTATGGTCTGAGCAGTTTACAGCTAAGTTTGCTTCTGAAGCGAAACGCCCTTGAAATCTTATGCGGACCACAAAAGAGCTACTAATAATATTACGGTTTTTCTTAGCATAGATCGGACGTTTTTTTGCTGGCCCCAATCACATGCGTTTCGTCCTTCTTTAGGGCTATTGAAAAAATATGAAGGTCCGGAACATAGAGAACGCACGAGCTAAAAATCAACTAATTCATGAACAGATTCAGCTTAAACTTTCGCCATAGAATAATGCAGTTAACCAAATCGAAGAAACTGCTAAAAAAAAGAGCGTGTTCTACAAACGATAAAATCATAACATTACCGAGACCGATCCAGAAACGCCGTCGATGACCTTAAGACTGTGAGCATTTTTGGTCGCGCGAAGTCAATGCGCGATTTCGAACGACCCAACGAAAATAGACTTCCATGCTCTAGTTAGGAAGTTCTGATCCGAACGACCCAACGAAAATAGACTTCCATGCTCTAGTTAGGAAGTTCTGATCCGAACATCATCGAAACCCCTCAAAAGACAGCTTCTAAAAGCATTTAATATTGCTGCAGAAAGCAGTGGCTATATATAGGCTCGAGTCGAAAGAATGGGCAAACGATCGGAACATCCCAGCCAGAATTATCTTTCTTAGACGTTACGCGTCTCTTGTATATTTCAAGATTCTTGTTTGAATTTACTTCAGGAGAAATAGGTTCAGATCGAAAAGCATTTTTTAGTCTGATAAATGAACCCTCAATGTTAATTTTTGTGTTCCTGGCAAGCCATGGCGCTGCGACAATTCATCGAAGATTATTGAAGACATTAGGCAGAAGTCTTTAAGCGAAAGCGCAATATGTGTACGACGCAAGCGTTTCAAGAACGCGTACTGCAGCGCTTCTGCATGTAATGTGTTACAGAAGTATAACCCAAGTACTGAACTTGCAAAAAATGAGTAAGAAATTAATTTTTCATGAATTGGGCCCAGGTCAGTTGGAAATGCGTGTTGTGTATTCTACGCGTAATTTGTTGACAAAGAATACATCTGGAGCATACCTTCGTCATGGACGAGGCATGACATTCAATCACCACCGCTAACCTGAGAGGGGCTAAGCAAAGGTATGGTATTGCCCTAGAAACAAACCGAGTTTGGTAGCAATATCGAGTAAGTTCAGACATAAGGTGGTGATTGTACTTACAATGGATATCAGAGGCATTTGCTTCCATGAGAGATTCGCCGAAAATGAAACATTCGACACTGTCCGCTACCTTGCCTTCCTCAAGAGATTCATGGACCATTGAAGCGTCAATCGGAGGTACGCAATCAGTCAAGTTGATGACAAGGTCAGACCTTGACAAAGGAATACCCAATATTGGCTTCAATCCGCTTATTCCTCAATCTAAGTCCGTACGATTACCGGGCTTCTTATGCCCTAAAGGGTCAACTGGTGAGTGAGCTGGTAATCGATTTCCTTCGATTACGTCTGTTAGAATTATTTTTATATGCTTTACATTTTTTGAGACGATAGTTATAGGAGCGCAATCTGAAGCTACAATCAAATCAACAACTCTTTATCATTACCAGACGATTGATTTAAATATTTAGGATTTAGGTGCAACTAGACCTGATCGAAGGTTGTATGCACTACTCAACGGGTCAGCATAATTACTTAATGCTAATTTAGTTAGTATAAAATTTAAAACATTTAATTGACTTATCCTGATTAAGGCTGCTTTATTAAAATATCAAGCAAAATTCCCGATATTTTTTAATTTTCTATTTATAGGACCATTAGAGACCTGGGTCGCAGCTACACCATCTATTCTCAATGAACAAAGAGTACATCCAATAGAAATTTGGAAGAAATAATTTAGAAAAGGTTTTGCGACTGTAGAAAAACTCGACCTATACATAGGAACGAACAGGGGTTACCTGGTACAGTAGGACGCATTAGTTGACTTCGTCATCAATAGGCTCTGTTGAATGTCTTATCAGAACGATTCGACCTCGCAGTCTACCTTATCTTATGGCTATTTGTGTTAATCAGTTTGTCTTTAAACCCACGGAGACCAATTCACAATCCTTTTAATGAAACTTTATTTTCCAGTCAATCGAACACGTAAACAATAACAGCGATACCGTTCACGTACTTGATGACCGCAAAAGCTTCGCACAGCTATTACGTTTGGCTAACTCGCGGAAGTTTGCCCGAAATCGTCCCATTTATTGTATATATCACCGATCATAGCACGTCTTTAACACTTAAAAGTGTGCGTAGATGCACTGAGACTTCCAAAAGCACCATGTATTTAACCTTTACGGAAACCCTGTTTAATTTGAATGTTTTTCTTCAATTTGACTGCAGTTTCCATGCGCTGAACGAGTCCGTCATCTCTTGGAGCATCTATTCTAAACTCTTCTGCATTGTACCATTTATATTAATAAATTGTAACGCTACCTGACCATAGGGACGTTCTGTGAAGTGATACATTAGGAAAAATCGAAGCATAAGATATATGTTACGTTTCGTTAGAATACTACGGTGCTCTTAGAGACATATTTTATCAAACAGACTTTTTTTTGCACCACTAAAAAATGGGTTATAGTCTTCGCGCTGTATTTCGAAGAACTGAGTCGTTAGTCACGGACCATAACAACAGTTCGAGTCTTTAGCACAGGTCACGCTCACATTGAAGTCGTCACATGTTTAAGAAAAGATATTCAACTTTCAGTCGCATCAAGCGGTTACCACTATCAAGCTCTATTTCTACATACATAGGCCATAGGCCCACTATAACAAGCAAGTGCTGCTTTAGGGTCAGTGCGATGTTCTATATCGATAGTGCCTTCCTTAGCACAACTGAATTAAGCAATTAGAGATAGGACGGTCAACAAGGCATGGGCGCCGGCTGTATGATAGGATACCTAACCGAAAGCGGTAAGCGGTTTTACCGGAAGTAAAACTCGCAACGTAGAAGTACGTTAAAATTTTATGAAGTACGTAATTATTAATACTGCTAAGATTTTCGTTTTTATTAAATGCTTTCGCACAAAACGGATGATAGATTCATAATGAATTGCTTCCAAGTGGGATGTTTCGGAACAGAAAAACTATTGACAAACAAATTTTCTCGTATAGTACATCTTCATTCGGTTGCAAAACAGCACCGGCTAGATGTGCTGGTGTAACCACCCTAGCGTATAGTACTGAGTAGATGACAGGCTTTTCGAAGGCTCAGGCAAAAGTAAGCGCATTTACTCGAACTCCTTTGGTTATTCACTCTAGCTTCCGATGACATCCAAAAAAACAAAGAGAAGAGTAAAAGGAACAAGGTTTCGCACGCTGGAAAAATATTTACCGTAAATGGAAAAATGCCTTGAAGGTTACTGAAATTTAGTCATACATTACAGAGTGGCCCTGTGCCTGCCAAAGGACGCTTGTTTCTTATATTATAGCAAAATTACTGGATCTTCTTGATTAGCCTCCGTAGCAGAAAAGGCCTATTGATTTTCAATTGCACAATATACTTATATGGGAAACTTGCTTTCCGCATACATTTGTTTTTCATTGATAGCTAGCTACAAATATCTAACTCACGCCTATCGAAAACGATTGCGCTCAAAAGAGTTTCTACTTCTTTTAACTCTGATATATCGTATTGATTTTGGCAGTGCTTTACTTAGGACAAACCCACTTTGTCTGTAAGTAGGTGCTAGGTCGCTTTATTAGATGTCTCCTAATCAGATTAAGATAAGGTGTGGCAAGATAACATGCGTAGACACACACGAGACTAAACAGACAAACATTCAGATCGGTGGCTTGTACCCCTTTGTAGAACTCGTACGCAACGAACACTATTTTTCTTGATAATCAGCTGTTTTTAAAAAAACACTATATGCAGTGTTTTTAAGCTAATTTACTTTTGCATTATTGCACTCCATTGGCAGATATTGTTCGAAATTCTAGCTTACTCCCTAAGGCGCAGAAAAATTTTAATTTTTTTCGTATACTTGAAGGTGCCTAACTATAAATTCGAAAATGTGTTGTACGGCACAGGGTCGTAGATGCCGCCAAGCGAAAACGTCGATGCATAAGATACTACTTTTATACTTTTTGTTTTTTTTTACTTACTTTTAAAAGAAACACGATATTGGCTTTCGAAGAGAATAAACAAGATATTCTACTCTGATTGAACGTTTCCTAGAACGCCGTTCAAGAATTACCTCGAAATATGGCTAATCAAACCAATCGGAAATTTAGCGCCAAAAATTTGAATGCTCTATTTTATTTAGTGCAACATTAAGTCGGCTATGCCTTGCCATAATAAAGTCGTTATCGAAAAATATGCACATGGTACACGTTGTTCGACTACCTGAGATACGGAGATCTCCGGAGCGTTTGTATGTGTAAAGATTACTCTTCTTAGGTACAGGAAGATTAGGGTTCTTCGAAATATCCTCAAATACACAGCCTCATTTCGTAAAGGCGTCTCGATTCGCTACGGCCGACGCTTCTAAATACCGCGTGATGATATGACTATGTTTACAAGTTCGTTTGGCCTTCTTCTTCGATCCTTTCTGTTTTACCCGTTTTTGTTGAATCAAGCTGGATCGGACACGTGTCCCATGTTTTCGTTTCAAGGTCGTTAGCGAAACTACATTCTCAAGTATATCGAAACGCTTTTATATAGTTCTGTAGGTATAGAGTACGGTACTAGATGTACATGCGGACTTTGGAGACCCCTTAGGTATTATACACTAAAATAAGCACTATATCGGCTCTCTACGATCCTTATTAATGCTGTGTGGATGGACAAAAACTGGACAAACAATGGAAGTGCAAAAATATTGTAGGCTTCAATGGGTACACTGAAGCCTGCAATTTCTTTAGCTATTGCGCATAGGACACTGCGAGCGATTGTTATGCTGTTGAGTTAATGGCATATTTACTATTAAAGGCTGTGCCTCCAATCTCTCGCTACTTCAACTTATACGCATACGGAGAAGCATTGGGAAAGCCTCTGCATCATCCTTCTATTGCCATTATAATGGGACGGAAAGCCTGTAAGGTCACTGGAATAGTGTAATACAACAGATATGATAATAGGTTGCGAGTATGTCTAGGGTGGACTGAACTGATGAATGGATACGATTAGGATCTCGCGCCGCAGTAAACTGCAGCTGGCCGGGAAAGGTACAACCTGATCTAGAGAGCGTAAAAGGTTTGGAGTCAAATATGGACTTTGACACATAATGATATGGGGGTTTCTGGTAACTATAACGAGCGTAAAAGGCCTGCATTACTCCGGGACTGAGAAGCCGATAGAAGAGGCGAGGGTTTTATAATCTCTTTAAAAAAAAGCCGTTATTCGAAATAGAGTCTTTTTTTACGTAAGGCCCCACGTAACCGGTGTAACGTGTTCACTGTATATAGACCGAATCGAAGCAATCAGTTTTGTCCTTCAAGATAACGAAAGTGCACGAAATTGCCGTGATGATAATTAGTTAAACGGGCAGTGATTTTGGGCGATCGAGAAGCGACGCGACATCAAAGACTAACATATTCAAGACCTGCAATACAATGTTCAGCTGGCACCAAACGTTAAGTGTGCATCGTCAACGAATCCTTACCGGCTGATATCACAGCATACGTGTGACTAAACCGGCGACATTTTAGACATATGGTATAATAGGAGAAATGAAACGGAGATTGTAATGGATAAAAACAACGATAATGATGCTAATAATATTTATTAGGCTTGTTTTTCTTCCCAGAAGCATTATGAACAACGCATACAATTTAGAATGCATAGTGATTTAGTTAGAAAAAATAAATTTCAAAATTCTAGTTATATATGTTGAGCATACGTATTTATTTCAGGTACTATTAACAAAAAAAAAACAATCATAAGCGACAACAATGTCAAATTTATCGGAATACTGCCTAACCCTCGAGCGGATGGACAGTGTTGGTTCTGTCAGTCCTGTCTCCTCGAAATACTTGTTGTCAAAAAGTAAATATTTCAAGACTTCTCTTAAGTTATACCTTTCTCAATCCAAATTTAAATACTTTTTTTTGGGGCTAAAACTCCAGTGAGTAGAACACAATGTGTTCCGTGGTAGATCAATCGAAATTTGCCGATTTGAATGTTGTGATCTATTTAAAATGGCAGAAAAAAATACAAAGATAATTTCTTAAATTAATTGTGGCTACTTTTTGGGTAATCTGTATAAAGAATAGCTAGGTTAACTTCACGTCCGGCTTTGTCGTTCAGGATGCCGCTGCTTCAAGCGGGAGCGTCCAGCACGAGAAAGCGCGCGATTTCGGATAGCAAAAACATAACTGATTAAAGCCAATCTGGGCATTTAACTTAGACTGTTAGTAAATAGTAGGTATTATCATTGTAAAAACACCCGCTACACGCTACGGTAAGAAATATGCTTTTTTGAACACTTATGTTTATGTCCCAATTTTTTGATAAACTACCGCAGACCGCACGTTATTTGCACGCTATCCCGCTTTTAGAGAACAAACATTCACACACCTCACAGATAATAGCCAGCTTGGCAGCAATCACCGTGATGGTGGGAATCGTGGCTCTCTGCTCCATTCGAAAACCCTACGAATAGACTGTTGGTCGGCTTTGCCTTGTACAAAATTTTCCCCTCCTAAATTATACCCGTAGCAAAACAACAATGTTTGTATACGCAATATATA